AACCATATATATATATATATATATATATAGGGGGGTGATATTATAATATAATGAAACAATCTTCAAAAACTATGTTAGGGCTATTTGCTTGACTTCAATTTTTAAAGGAAATAGTTTATATAAGGATGGAACCTTATAATGTATAACTACGGATACACCTCAAAAATCCTTTAGAAAAAGTAGTTTTAATGTTGAAAAACCCTTTGATTGATCATCTCGACATCGAGATGTATGACCATGAAAAATAAAAAGATTTTAAATCTCAGAAATAGTGCATTTTACAACATATTATCTACACCGTCCATTTTCATGATTTTCATATGTTTATAGATCTACTAGATTTTAGCCATTTTTAAAATTTAAAATTTTATAATTAAATATAAAAATAGTTTTTGAGATAATCCTAAGAACAATTTACATAAAAATTATATACCATGATAAAATTTGAAGGTGCACCTTACCTCTACAGCTACGGATGCATCCATATGCAAACTGCACCCATTTTTAAATTTACATTCTTGTCATTCTTATAAACAATTACAAAAAATTAAAAATTAAAAACATACCTCAGAAAATAATTTTTTTGCTCAATTATTATAAGTCGTCCATTTTAATGAGACGCTTAGATCCAATCCTTAAAAGAATTATTTACCTTTCCAAAAACTTTGATGACTTTTTTATAATTAGATCACCAATGTTAGTATAGTATATATCATTTATGCTCAGGAGTGTGGCAAATTACGCGCTTCTAACGAGTGTTTGTCTATTGTGATTTTAATGATTATTGTGTGCAGATTTTGGACCATGAAGATAATGTGATGATGAGGCCACTAAAGCTTGTTCCATGAACTGGGTCGCCACCTTCAATTTTGAATGCATATTTGAAGAAAGTGGTCTATACGTGGCTCAATGCTGTTCTTGTTGGGCTCTAACTAAGCTGGCAATGAGCAACAATCACGCCTCTATTTGTAGTTTTTTTGATAAAATATTTTCGCACGGTTGTCCACTCCACTTTTAAACTCGCATATCCAAAAAACATGTAAAAAAAAAAGTACTCTTGATAAATAAAATAACCAAAATACCTCTAAAAATTTTAGGGGTATTTTTTTATTTTATTTTATCAAAAATATCTTTTTAAATGTACCCTGTTGGGATCATGGCATGTACCAAATTTCATATTCATATGATTTGTAAAAAAATAATAATAATAGAATTCTATGAAAAGTGACTCACTTGATCTAAATTAGATGGCTAAATGGTGTAGAGAAGTATATCACTTCTATACAGTAGGAAACGTGTAGAAAGATTTCCCATTATATTATAGGAATGCCGTCGATGGCATTGATTTCCTCCACTAGGGCTGTTAATGGGATCAGGTGGTCAGCGGGCTTTTGGGACTAGATTTGGGCCACTATAAGCCGGCAGCCCAAGCCCAGCAGGCCCGAAATATTTTCTGGCTGGCCCAGGCTAGCCCTTACCAAGTCCAAGCCCGAGCCTGGCCCAAAATGTTTTAAATTATATGTTACACTTTTTTTAAAAAAAATGTTCATTTATATAAAGCCCCTTTTTCTCAAGCCAGACACGGACCAAGGTGGCCCCAGCCCAAACCTGGCCCATTAACAGCCCTAGGGCCCTCTATCCATTGTTGTTGATCATAATCGTGGCTCATGTATCTTAATACTGTTCAGATTAGCGCATGTAATATAAGCGAACACAAGGCCTATGTCAAAGGACAACGTTTTTATGAGTCCATGAGTCACGTCTTAAAAATTTATTTTTGGGATCGAGTTTTGGACTTAATTTTTAAGAACATATAATCTCTAATTTAAAGATCATGAATATGAAAAACTAAATAAATTTAAAAAATTAAAAATAATAATTCTCATAGTTTCAATTGTTTTTAAATAGACCACCTATTTGCATCCATCTTAAAATAGATGCTTTATACCTCAGGACCGCAAATGTAGAAATGCGGCTGCATGAAATGTTAATTTCAACTCGAGTAGAATGTCACTGTTAACACCCATCTGCAGGCTAATGTATGTTACTTGTACCAAACTGATTGTGGAAGCCTACTCAATAATTAGTGCTTGAACTTGACGAATAAAACAAGGTTTAAATTGCAATGGAGGTCAAAAGCTTTTGCGATATACTTAAAAATTTACTTAGAGATGAGGTTTTGGTGTCGAAAATCTTTTTTCCTACTCATTAACAAAATTTAAAATTTCAAAAATTGTACAGATCGAGCAAATCAATAAACATTTGAAAATCTTGAAAATAGACGGTCTAAATAACTATTTTTTTAATTTGAAATACTTATTTTTTTTCTTCATGTCCAATCATCTTGATGCAAGTTGATCAGTTGGAAGATTCTCCGATGCCGGAACATTCTCAATTATGGTGCATTGGGATCCACCACACGTCCACGTTGATCGATGAGGGAGATTAACAATGGTTTGATGTGTTTGTATTCATGAGCATTACGTGTGATTCAAAATAGCTGCGGTCAATTCAAATTTGTTTGGGTGTGGTTGGTATAAGGTTGCAACTTTTAACGATCAAATTAAAGGGCACCTCTAAATTTTATAATAAGTATAATTTTGGTGTCAAAAATTGTTATGACTTGAAATATTTTTATCTTTAATAATAATATATCTGTGTCAAAAATTCTTATGACTTAGAAAATCTATTTTTATCTTTAATAATAATATATCTCAAACTCCAAAAGTGGTTCAAATCAAGTACATTTATAAATACTTGAAAATTTTGAAAATGGACTGTCCAAAAATTGTGTTGCAAGATACATTATATATAAGACAAAATATTTTTACTCTTCATATTCATACATCTCAATGTCGAAACTCATACATCTCAATGTCGAAATGATGAATTAGAAAACCACCTTTTATGATGGATTTTTTAGGTGCACTTTGATTCTACATTTTAAGATTGCAAGCTTATATAAACTCTTATCGAATTTGTTTAGAATAAATTTGTTTCAAATTAAATGTCGTTATTTTGAAGCTTGTTAACAGCCAATGCGCGCGCATGTACCAATGTGAAATAGCTGGGGGGTGTAAACTAGTCGGGACTGGGTTTGAGTCGATACGATTGGGTCTTAGTTCTGCCCGGTCAGATTGGGTCAAGTCGGCTCTTTGGAACCTAAAAAGCCAATGCCATCAACGGCATATTGCTTGTGTACGCCATACATTCCCTTCCCATATCTACATCTCAATGTCGAAATGATCAACTAGAAAACCACATTTTTATGATTCTACATTTTAAGGTTGCAACCTTATATAAACTTTTATCAAATTTGTTTCAAATTAAATGTTAGTTGTTTTGAAGCTTGTTAACGACCAATGCACGCGCATGTGCCAATGTGAGTCAGCTTAGGGGTGTAAATTAGTTGGGCTGGGCCTGAGTCGATCCGACTTGTTCCTAGTTCAGCCCGGTCAAATCGGGTTAGGTCGGCTCTTTGGGACCCAAAAAGCCAACGCCATCAACATCATATAGCTTGTGTACGCCATACATTCTGTATCTACATCTCAATGTCGAGATGATCAACTAAAAAACAACCTTTTATGATAGATTTTTGAGGTGCATATTAATTCTACATTTTTATGTTGCAACCTTATATAAACTTTTTTGAAATTTGTTCAGAATAAATTTGTTTCAAATTAAATGTCGCTATTTTGAAGCTTGTTAACGTGCACATGTGCCAATGTGAGTTAGCCTAGGTGTGTAAACTAGTCGGATCGGGTCTGAGTTGACCCGACTGGGTCCTGGTTCCGCCCGGTCAGATTAGGTCAGATCGGCTCTTTGGGACCCAAAAGCCAACGCCATCAACGTCATACAACATGTGTATGCCATACATTCCCGTATCTACATCTCAATATCGAGTTAATAAACTAAAAGACAACCTTTTATAATGGATTTTTGAGGTGTACCTTAATTCTACATTTGAATGTTGCAACCTTATAAAAACGTTTTCCAAATTTGTTCAGCATAAATTTGTTTAATGTTGTTATTTTGAAGCTTGTTATTGGCCAATGCGCACATGTGCCAATGTGATCAGCCTAGGGTTGTAAACTAGTCGGACTGGGTCTGAGTTGACCCGACTAGGTCCTAGTTGGCCACGGTCAGATCAGGTCAGGTCGGCTCTTTGGGATCCAAAAGCCAACGCCACAGCTTGTGTACGCCATACATTCCCGTATCCTGCTTGATCCTGGTTGGCCAAGTGAATGGATTTGCTCAATGGGATCAGCTTCTAGTTGGGAGAGCAAACAGAAAGTAGGCAATTCCATCGAAACCAAATGAAGTTGACTTAGCTTGGTTTGGTTTCTTCTGCAACGGAGTTCATGTGCAAAGTCCACAAATCTCTCTATTAGGCCCAAGCATTGTTTGAAAAAACTGTCCAACTAGTGCCTGGATGCCCGTCTAAGGGTCCGGAGGACCTCAGCGCCAACGTCAGGGCTAGGCAACCCTCCCTAGGTGCCTGTACCTAACCGAGGGCCCTTATTTTTAGAATAAAGTGCCCCATAAAGGTCCTTTGAGTCATTTTTTTACCCATGTTTTTTTTCATAAAAGGCTATAGGGGTATTCTAAACCCCCGAAGTGGAAAAAAAAACTAGATCTCAAGTCTATTGATTTTTTTGATATATATATATATATATATATATATATATGTGGTTTCTATAAGGTTGCAACATTAAACCATCTAATTAAAGCGCACCTCCAAATTTTATCATAAAGTGTAATTTTGGTGAAAGAATTCTAATGATTATCTCAAAATCTATTTTCATATCTAATTATAAAATTTTAAACTCTAAAAATGGTTAAAATTAAACAGATCTATAAACATACAAAAATCTTAAAAATAGACGGTCTATATAATATATTGCAAAATACACTACTTCTGGGACTCTAAATCTTTTTTTCTTCCATATTCGTACATCTCGATGTCGAGATGATCAATTAGAGGTTTTTTTAACATTACAACAACCTTTCTATATATATATATATATATATATATTCAAATATGAATAAAGTCGTGACCGTTAGATCGGCTCAGATTCAATCCGGATTGTTGGACTCATATGTTAATATGAGCTAATGGGCCAATCTCAGCATTTTTCATATATATAAAATTCAAATACGAAATGATATCGTGACCGTCAGAATGACCAGATTTAATCTGAGCTGCTGGGCTCATATATTGATATGAGCTAGTGGAAAAGATGGGATTAGCCACTGGCTCATATGAACATATGAGCCCAACGTCCCAGATTGATTCTGGGCCGATTTGACGATCACGGATGTCCGGTAGTATTTGAATTTTAGTTTTTTTATACAAACTCAAATCACTTAAAATTTTAATCGTGTGTTCGTAAACAATAAGTGAATCTTCGAAAAATATCAAACAAATGTTTTACATGAAATAAAGTGACCAAAATACCCCTGAAATGTTTCGAGGGGTATTTTGGTTATTTTATTTTTTGTGGATAATTTTTTTTATATTTTTATTATGTGCTCCTTGATGAGAAGAACACACACCTAAAATTTTAAGTAATTTGTATCAGTAGAAAAAAAACAAAAATTCAAACACT